AGTTTGCATGCCATTTTTCTTTCTCATGGAGACTTGTATTTTTACTGAATTATTTCAGTTGTCCACTTGGGTGGCCATTGGCTCTTCTGTCACTTCTTCAGCCTGAGCTTCCTAGTCTAAAATTTCATATAATTTTGTTTTAGCAAATACAGGAATTGTTGAGATGGGTATTTTAAATCAGTTACTACTGAATGCAAAAAGTGGCAAGACTCTACCTTTTAGATAAAGCAAATGAAGAGTTCATTCTGCAAGCACTTGAGTGTGTTTACTTGTAAAGTTGTGAGGATTCCTCTTGTTTTCCAGGGCTTCACAGAAGATTTAAGTGGATGGAAAAAATCTTGGAGTTTGTTTGCAGAAATAGAGAATTTATCAGAAAGCCTATGCATTTGTAGCCATATGAACGGCTCTGCCACCATAAGAGGATATGTACCAAAACCTCTACCAATGACAGAACAGTGGCAGAGTGAAATTGAAAAGAAAAAATCTCAGATACCAGTATACCTCCTTTTGTCGTCTTCCATTTTTTTCTGTGATCTTTCTCCTTTCACAGATGTCGGATGTGCAAAAGGAGCTGGATGTAAATGTCAGTCAGTGCTAAAATAATAGTATGAGAAGTATCTGACTCCTTACTTTATTGGGAGGGGTTACCTCTGAACCACTTGTAATTCCGTACCTGGTTTAAATGTTCTTAGTGTGTTGTTCTGCATGATAGCTGCCTCTTATAGAAGGAGTGTCTAACCCAGTATCTCTCCCTCAACAGAGGGCAACATCAGACTTCTAGGAAAGAGTAAGCAAGATAGATGTCTAATGATAGCTTCCAGTTCTGGATGTGGAAAGAGAACTAAGGTTCAGATCCAAGATACTTAGATGTGGCGCTATTCAGGCTTTGAATAGTAGCATTTAATCCCTCCTGTGTGTGTTTCATAAATCATATCAGAACTTTTCACAGCTGCTTCTTATGTAGGAAAAAAATTTGGAAACCTGCCTTGAAAGAAAGGCTGCTCTGATTAGAATATGATATTTTAGTTCCTAAAGAATCACCACTAACTTCAGAGGGGAAAAAGAGCCTATTTGTTTTTAAACCCTTTGAAGCATAACAAATGCAAATTCACATTTCAACTCTGAAGAAAGTCGTCTTATTCCTTGATGTGCAGCTTGTAGATTCTTTCTTTCTTCTCTTAACCAAGCTATTGAACTCAAGGTGAAATCTATTGCTGTCATAATGAATCACTGGATGCAGTTCCCAGTATTGAACAGGAAGAAGGAAGCTGTTCCTGGTTTTGTGAAGTGTGACTTGATATGAATGGGGCTTCATGATGTGACTGAAGCTTCAGAAGGGAACGCAAAGGCGTTGGACTGCCAAATTTTACTAGCATTTGCTGAGGAGGAGTTTAGTTGTTAATGACACTGGGCAGCAGATGGTCTTAGAAGAGTTGTTAAGACACTGTGGCTCTTACTGTAAATATGTGGGTTGAATGGAACCAAGATGCTGACAGTTCATTCTCACAGCTCATGATAAGAGAATGACTGGAGTGGAATTCAGTATTGCCAGAACATGAATTTCTTAAAATTTGCCCGAGTTTGCTATATATCTGGGAAGAATTTAGCGACATAACAGTACGATGCTAATAGGGATGCGCTTGAAGTCATGTAAAGTTCAGAACAAAGAACCACGTTACATGCCTAGTCAGCTTTTCTTGACTACTAATGATCTTTAGGCCTGAAGATACTGAACTTGTGCAGTTTAACTAAAAGATCAGTCTGGGAATTAATTTTAGTCTTCTCACCTTTGAATCCAAGAGAGCATACCTTTATGTTGCAGATGAATCTGATGCATTGAACTAGAAAATAAACTGTTGTAGGAAAAAACGCTCTCTTTCCTACTGCAGGTCTGGTCTCAAGCTAGTCTTCCATGTTTTCCTCCCTCACAAAATACCTTCATCTCCTCCATCCAAACAAGAAAGTACAATACTGGCGTGGGATCTGTTATTTCGTTTTAATAGCCAGACACAAAGTATAGCTTCCAAGTTCTTTGCCAAATTATTAGTCTTTCCCTCTTCTCAGTCTATTTACCCATGTAGCTTTTAGTATGGCTTGAAGAAAATGGTAGAAAGAATAACATACTGGAATCCTAAGTGTGATTCATGATATGAAATCCCATATCCGGGAATTACACAGCTATATCAGAAAGTTAGCAGACAGCGTGCTAGGCTGCAGCTGCTATTGTTCACAAGGCAAACCTGCTCTCACCCCTGCTCTGACCAAAGAAAATCAAATGAAGAACCTCTGATAAACTAGCCAATGAAGTAGTTTTCTCCCATACTTGCTAGTGTGATGACCAAGCAGAATTTGAGGCTTTAACTGTGCAGTAACCCATTTAAGCTCTGGATCATTTTGATGCTGTAATCTTTAGTACTTCACGAACAAATCTCTGGAAGCCACTTTCTTCCTACCTTGAACTCCAGTTGTCACCTTTTTCCAGATAGTTTCATCTTTTTTTTTTTTTCCCCCCCTCCAGATAGAAACATAGATTTAAAAAGTTAATATTTTTCCTTGAAATAATTCTTCCTCTCTTTGCCATCTCTTAACTTAAGTCAGAAGTGACATAATACAAACTTCAAAATTCATTTATTCCTAGGGGAAAATAATTTGTTAGATCATTTGGACAGATATTTGAAAGGGCAGGTCCTCTAAATCAGTCACTAGTGCAAGCCACCTCAGTAACTCAGTCCGACTTTTTATCACTTATTCTTTGGACTCTTTCGGGGCACTTGGACGATATTTGTCCCCTCCTTCTTGTTGTGGTGTGTTCACAGGTGCGGAATGGTTTTGCATACAGAAAACAGTGATCTCCATAATGCAAAAGGTGTTTAGGTAACTAAGTCTGCTGTGAATGGGACTGACTGAACGGAAGATGGCCATTAACCAGTACTGATTCAATTGGATAAGTGCGTGTTGGGTCCTGCTGGCTTTTTTCGCATTGGGGGAGCACTAAGGTATTGCCTCCATAGTTTCACAGTTTCTGCAGTCCCGCCTCACACAAAGATCAGACAAGCTTGGTAGGCTTTCTGTCTTTGTACTGGTAGTATTGTCCTTGGTATAAGATGTACTTTTTTTTTTAGTTGGCTTCAGTGGCTTAGATAATAGCTTCTTAATTTCTTGATCATCATGTGATGGTGTTCAGTCTGAATAATTGAAATGGAGAACTGACAGACAGGCAGCCCAGCTGACTGGAGGTTTGGTAAGTTTGGCCTCGTGAACGTGGAGCTGTTGTTTCTGTGTTCCCAGAACCTACTCTGCATCACATTTAGCATAACTTGTGGCATTAAGCTGAGCTGATTTTTTGGGGAGGGAAAAATCTCTCATCCTGTCAAAAGGCCAGTACCTTCAGATCAGGAATTAATTGCATCAGCAGTGCAAGTTGAAGAGAATTGCATTTGGCTCCGAATTGTTTAGTTCTTTTGACTAAGCTGAAGCCTTTATTTGCTAGTACTCTGGGTTTTTATTCTTAAATACTGTATCACTGTGAGAAGAGCAGAAATATGGATTGCCAGTCCATTTCATCTCATCAAAGTCAGATTATAAAATCTAATTTCTGAAAGGAAAACATTTTAATAGTGGTGATCACCATTCCAGTGAAATATTGAGGCTGGAAACAGGTGAATTATGTCAATTAAAATCCTCAGTGAACTTCAGTTAGGGAGAAATTTGAAACAGTAGTAGTACGTTAGCCTTTACTTTCTGAAGGCATGTAATTCTTACTATCATTGAGTGACAGACAGGCATGGACTAATTAGAACCCGCCACAAAGTAAGGACTTTTAAATATTCAGATTTGCCTTTAAAAAGTGTGCTAAACATCTCCTGCAATGACTGTAGCCCTCAACAGTGGATAATATTTACGCAGTGTAGTTAGAATGTTCTGTTAGGGATCCCATTGTTGTGAACAATGTAATTCTTATAATCTAGTAAATGTAACATACCACAGTGTTCTGCTTTGTAAACATTGACTCCCTTCTAAGATGAAGGTTACGTCATGCCAACAAATAAGAGAAAATCATGGCCTCAAACTTGCAATTATTCAGATGTGCACCCTCTGGATTCCTGATGCAGTCAAAGTCACAGAATGAAGGTGAATATTGAACACAGGTGCAAGCTTTTGTGCAAGCAATTCGTCAACCTCCTTGTGCTTAAATTCCCCTTTAAGAGGAGAAAAAAAAAGATGCAAATGTAAATAGCTTTTTAACCTCTTATCTGCACAGGTGTATTTATATTGTGCTTCTGGGTTGTGTTTCATATTTCTAAATAATAACCAGACACTGTTATGTTACTAATGTAATGTAACCACTGATGTGTATGGATTAGTTCTCCACCCGTGGAAAGTAATGAAAAACTGGCTTGGCTGAAGAGTTCATCCTTTAAGGTTGAACTTAAACTGTAATTTTTGTTGAATCTTAAATGGACAAGAGCTCGGATTATTTGAGCAGTGAGCAGAATGGGCTGTTGCTTGGAGTGAACTTCTATTTCAGCTTTGCTGTCAAAGACTCTCTTGGTCTAACTACTCAAGTCATCCATTCTTTGACTCAAATAATGGAATGATCCAAATCTCTTAGGCTCTGCTCTTTTGAGCATCTCATCTATACTCATTGTTGTTCAGACACACAAATACCTGCTTCTTTTTTTTAGTCTATGAAAACATTTGTGGTGCTTGTCTGTCTCTGCCATGACTTCTTTATTAGTCAAAATATCTTACAACGCTAGTAGTCACTTTCCAAAGAGTACAAAGTGATCGATTTCGACAGTGAAAACAGATTTGAGATATGAGGCTCTTTGAATATGAACTGTACTTTTATTGCAGCAGCTCTTAGGTGCTGTGTTCTGGGACCCCGGTTTCTACTGTCAGCCATTATATAAATGGAAAAAAAGACAGGTGCTACTAGAGCATATACAGTCTAGGTTGCTCGCTATAATTAGTCTTTCACTGTGAAAACTTTTTCACAGCTGTACCAGCAAACATCGCAGACCTGCGAAACATAGAAGTGCTCAACTTCTTCAACAACCAGATTGAGGAGCTGCCTACGCAGATTAGCAGCCTTCAGAAGCTCAAACACCTAAATCTTGGGTGCGTATCTTAATGCAAAAATTTGCTGTAATAGAAATTCTGTCACAGCAATTGCTACAACTGAATCTAAAACTTAACTCGTTTTTTGTTTGCCGTTAAAGTGTCTCTTCGAAAGTGTTTATTGTAACTCTGCAGTTGTGGCTTCGTATAATCAGATACATAAGTGATGAAGCACCTGTTGCTCGGCTATACCAGTAACCACTTAGGGGCAGCAGCAACTCACGTTCATCTAATACTGAAGCCAAATTTGACAAGTGTTGAATTTTATTTTCCTAATGACTGTCTCTTAATTCTGTGGTCGCTGCATAAGAGCCAGGCCCTATTTTCTGTTCTGCTATATCCAAAAAAAAAAAAACAAAAAAACTCACACAAACCTAAAACAAATGCTGAATTTTCTATGTTAATTTGGGACTTTAATACCAAATTTGAGGTTACGGAAACTTCAATTTCTATTGAATCTGTAAAAGAAGCAGCAAATCTTTAAATGTGGTGTTGATTTAATTCAAAGAGGTAATACTAGTGGAATATGAGTTGGAAACACTCCTCTTAACAGTATTCAGACATCTAATTCCAGTAGAGTTGTTCATAGTTTACTGTAACTACAATTATTGCAAAAAGCTTTAGGAAAAAAAAAATTAAAAGGAAAAAAAAAAAAAACCTAAAGCATAGAACCTCTTCAGAACTAATTGGACATATTAAAATGCAGCTACCTAGGAAAGCATTGATAGCGGGAAGCTTTGGCTTCATAAGCTTCTCATAGACATTTAAAAAAAAAAGTTTGTATTTTAAATAAATCAAACTTCTGAACACCTGAGTGAGTTGGAAGATTCCTAATTTTTTTAAATCCCAAATGACTTTGACTAGGCCCTGTGTTTCCTGCTTTAAATAGCTTTGTAAAGTGCCGATAATTGAATTGCATCCTGAACTGCTAGAATACAAATAAATGTTTTCATGATGGTCTCTCTTCTGCAAATGTTTCTGGTCTTTGTTTGGTCTCTTTAGTTCTCTAGCACATCCTATTATCCATTTGAACTTAGAGTTGACCATGAGTTCATATTTGTTTGGAAAAAGCAGCACTTCTTATATCTTGGAGGTTAAGTCCGCAATTTTGGAATGGTATATGAAAAATACAGTACTATGTATGGAGGGGGGGGAATTGGACTCTTTCTAGGAATAAAACCAGTGATAAGTGGTTGTGTATTTCAAATATTCATCTTTGCTACATTTTTGTTCTATTACTGTAGTATGGAAGTCCACTTGGGATTAAGTCCGCTCGCCATCGTGGAACACTGTATGTTGCATACCCAGTGGTTTGGGTCTGGAACTGCTGTTGCCACCTTCATGTGTCATATGGCCCAAGATTTTGTAGATTACATGCTCTCCCTTCTTGCCCCCTTCCTCACCCACAATCTCTGACACCAGACTTACAACTTAGGTTTAGCACTGTGAAATGGGTCTGCTTCAGAAGTTCTCATGGTGTCTTACTGTTTGTGGAGTCAACTAAGGGGAAATTGCTCTGCCCTGCTAGCTTAAAAACACTTTTTATGTCATCTGTGGTATGTTTGTACCCACAAAGCATCAAAACTGTATTCTGCTTTGGGGGAGAGGAGAAGCTTGAGTAAGAGCACAGAATACTTTTGGAAGGATTTAGGGCAGGTGGGTCAAGTGATGAGGTGAGAAAAGGGAAAGTGTACTAATACACTCAAAGTAAAAATCTGGAAAGCATCTGTGACACCATTTCTCTGGCACTTCAAACACTGAACTTGTGCAGGGCAGAATAGTGGTGGCCAGGGACTTCGACGTGAAAAGGGGCACCAGCTGGAAGAATAGATGCCATTCTGCCTATTATGGATAAGGGTATACTTTCTTTTCCATTCATTGCTTACAGAAGGGAAGGCCAAGAATCAGTGCTGTTGACTTCGCTCCTGTTACTAGTGAAATAGGCACTGCCTTTGTTAATTCTATTTGATGCGAAAAACAGTTTTTAAAGTGGTGATAAGTCTGTAGTAGCCACAGTAGACACCCTCTAGGCTGTCCTTTCCTAATTTGATAGCTACTACTATGCAATAATATTGAATGGATGTTCTTAGTAGGACGGGTGTCCTTATCTTCCCACGGTCTCACCCACTGTGCAGCAAGACAAGTCTTACTTGCATGAATATACAGTTAATATGAGCAAGGCTCTTTACAGAAGAACTGTGACAGAGTGAGATTAAGACTTCAATTCTGCAGACTTCCACTGGGATTTGGTACTTTACAAATGTTTAACTAATGACTCTTACTACCTGATCTGCCTTAATTACATGAATAAGTTTGTAAAAGTAGGGTCTAGCTGATTTGCTAATGGTAAAGCCAGTCATCTCTCTCCTATGCATATCAAACACAGCCTTGTTACAGTATTGTGTTCCATAAACTGTATATTAAATCTGGGTTCGTGAACAATATGTAGAGATTACATTGGCATTTGTTAATGCTCACTTTGTGATTTTTGAATACCACTGCTCTCAGAAACAATATACATGCACAAACAGATGAGTGAAGTAATTCTGATTAACATATAATATTGAAACAAAGGTACAGATACCTTTTGGATCATATTTAGACCATTTAAGCAGGGACTTGAAACATGTGGACCTGGAGCAATGCAGGACAACCTACTGATGGTAAATGCCTAAAAAGAGTAAATCATATGGGTACTTTCATTTTAAGGTTAAAAGCTTTCCTAGATGCCTAAGCAGAGGCTTTGAAAGCTTAATGTTGCAGTCCCCAAGTTACTGTGTTTATTACTGTGACTGTAAAAAACTATGCTGATCTGAAGTCACTCCTAACTTTGCCACCATCCTGAACATGCATGCTCAGGCCTGTAGCTGTGCTCTGGAACCTGCGCACCTTCATGTTTCAGCTCCCCAAAATGAAGTAAGAATGAGGCAGGCAGCATGAAGTTTGGGCCTCTTTGTGGTGGGTGTCATTGGGGCACAGGAGGGATGTATTGTGGGAGGAGGAGGAGAGCAGTGATAATGGATTGTGGACTTCTGGGAAGCTAGTATGCATGTGCTTCCTCACAAACTGACCCGCTGCTGCTGCTAGCGTGCACCTGAGGCAATATCCAAGCAGCTAACTTGAGAACTCCTTTATTTCAGTTTTTGGAGCATGTGCTGGCCCTATGGGATGTTTTAGCTCCTCTTTATTTTGGGGGAGATTTGAACCTGCAGCTTGACAGTATCCTAGGAATTCACTCTGCTGTTATGGCACATTCTGTGCAGCAAAGTTCTTTGTGCCTCCTTTTAAAGTTAGGCTTCTGATGGGAAGAGCGCATAAGTCATGGATCCAAAAGGAGCTGGATTCTCCCTGAATCTCTGCCTCACTCCTCAGGAGTAAGGACGAAGAAGATTTTTATCCAGAATTTAACTTCAGAGAACTGATCTTTACAGTTGCTTGTTCCAGTGGGGCTGGCTTATGAAAAAGTGGGACAGGTGAGGTGAGGTTAGTATCTGAGAGTCAGTAGAAGAAAGAATATATATATACTTCTCCTGCCTTAGCTCTTATGGATGTGTAATCACCATGCTTAGTATGGAGGTTACTCTTGCTTTTGATTTGCAGTATCCAAAAGACTTCTAAGAGGATGGGGTTTATTCACTTTCCTATGGATGTCTTTCATAGTATTTATCACATAGTATAACCTAATGTTTGACAAACACTGCATGTGGGAAGGAAGGCCCTAGAGCCTGGAGCTAGAAGTGTTTGCTAATTTTGAATACCCAGCTTTGTCAAAGCTTTGACTTGAGTTTTCAGTTTTTAGTGTTGTATAGCATTTTCTATATTCACGTTACGTCTCCTGTAGACTTCAGTTGCAGCTGTTGCTATTTATCATTTTTCTATCAGAAGTTGGGTCAATACTCAGGAATTAAGAATGTGTTTAGTGATCACATATGCAAAGTCATGTTTGTTTCCCCATCATTGCATATGAATTCTGGCAGAGGCACAATAAAATCCAGTTCCTTAAAATAACTGTCTATAACCTTACATGCACTTCCAGAAGATGCCCGTCATCTTTGTTGTGCTTTCAGACATAGATGGCAAATGAAGCAGGATTCATGCAGGCAGGCTGTATGTTTGGTATATATGCACTCGGGACAATAGAATTTTGAGCTGCTGGTGCTCTTCCATTGCTATTACAAACAGAGCCCTGGCTGCTCATATGTTGAAGGTACGGTAGTATGAATATCACCTGCGTTGCCTGCCTTCCTCCTTGCCTGCCTTTTCCATTGCAACAGCTCTAGAGACTGTGTGGTCTTCCTCATTCAAGCCTTTTGAGTTTAGATAAAAGTTCTCTTTTCTGGAGCTGCCTTCTCCAGGTTATCAGAGAAACCTTTTCCTTCTGTTAGTGCTGTTAGTTTCCTACATATTCGTCTGGCTGTTGCCAGTGAGAAATGCTGTCCTAAACCCTCTAAGATTGCTTGAAGGAGCAATAGTTAGACTAAGCCTCATTAACCAGAGGATTGATATTTATTTCGTGCTCCACGTGCACCTGTAGATACCTACTTATAGGAATTTGCAGATCTCAGGAAGGACTTGAGCGACACTTAAACAATGAACATGAGTAACATACAGTTGAAGTATTCCTCTTTGTATTTTGATACTGTGGTGAAGAACTGTGTGATATGGGGGAACTCTGGCAGATGTTCAAGAGGCTGTGAGATGCAAAAGGGTAGTCTATAGCGTAGCTGGAGGATACAGGCCACCTACCAAGGACCAGCTTGCTCAGTGCACACTGCTTAATTTGGACATAGCACTGTGGCTCCCTTCTATACTTGCTTCATGTTTCAGGCTCAGTGATTTGGTAGACCAAACAAACGGGATCCCTTATGAGCACACAAGATTTGGGCATGCTTAGGGGAGCAAGAGATTAGAAAGGTCTGCGTTGCAAAAAACTTTCTCAGTGTCTGTTAGCATCAAGCCCTTTTCAAAACAAAATGAAAAAGCAAAGTTTGGTTAGATTAAATTTTTGGAAGACTCTTATTGCCTGTGTTATTCCTACCTAATGAAATGAATTCTGGTGTCATGTTCTGTTCTTTCCTCTTCACTTACAGCATGAACAGGTTAAATACGTTACCAAGAGGATTCGGCTCTTTACCTGCTCTGGAGGTTCTTGACTTGACTTATAACAATTTAAATGAAAATTCTCTACCTGGAAACTTCTTCTATCTGAGTAAGAAACAACTTTTTTTTTTTTTTTAAAATCTGTAAATCTTCCTGATATGGTGCTTTGCTTTCTGGAGGTGAAATTTATTTGATAGAGACCAAACTCCAACAGAATTTTTCAGATATTTATGTTTCTCTCCTTTGGTCCTCTTGAATGTTTCTACATAGCTCAGCAATATGTATCATTGATATACAGTCACCTGACACAATTGGGCATGAGAAGACTTGGTTAGTAATGGTATATTAGTTTTCTTCTGAGTAATATTTTCTTGGGTCTCATACTTAGTAAAAACTTAGTGGAAGCTGGAAAGCCTCAGGGGACAGTAAATTGTGCAACTGTTGCCTGTTGATTCTGAAAGTAATTGGGTTCTTGATGGTTCATTATCGTAACTTTTAAGAGCTTGCGAGTATTTCAGGTGTCCAGTATGTTAAAAATACGCTAAGGTTACAGAGTTTGGCACTGGAATGGTGGAACAGAGCTGACCTTTACGTACGTTAAAGAGCATGCTCATGTAGTTAAAATAAGTGCATTGTAATGCGTATGAAAGAGCTGAATTAAGGTTGCCTAAGCAACTTAAATTCTGACTTTTTCTAGCTTTCCATGATTCTACTACCTTACAGATCTTTTCGGTGTAGTATACTGAAGTGACTTCAGGATAAGTGCGTTAACCAGCAAAAGGGACCGGTGAGGGGAGGGGAAGGAATGCTGCAGTCTGTGAAAGATTTCATGCCTGACCCAACAGTGGGAAATTTTAAAGTGATCGTTATTAAAAATGGTCTAATATAATGAAATGAAAAGAGGAGGTGGAAACTGCAAAAGGGAAATGGGATCTCTTCTCTGGGGGAGAGGAGAAGGTTTTCTCACCAAGCTGCCTGCCTTCCCTCTGCCCCCAACAGTTCTTTGTGTGTCTCCATTTAAATTTTCTTGCAAACTGTCATGTATGCTCATTCAATAATAGCAAGCTACGTGATTGTGCTAGGTCATCTTTTTTCTCTGTGAATTTCATAGAGACAAAGTGTGAAAATTACAAATGATACAATTTGAGTCTGCTATATTGGGTACTTACTCTCTTTTAAGGTCTCAGCAAGTGTTAGGCTGTGCTTTCTATAGTGTTAAATACAGGCATGCATTTGTCCAAAAAAACTCAGCTGATTTTTTGTATTTATTTAGGATGCAAATCAGGGCAATAAATAAGAATTGGGGTAATAAAGAGTAATGACTCCGTCCTGGCAGATGAGCATTGAAATTATGTGCCAGAATCTGCCAGAGTCTACTATTGTAGAAATTGTTAATTGTGTCAGTTCTGTTAAATATAGATGTTTTCCTGAACTCACCAACAGTACAATAAGCCAGTAAATCTAAGTTTGACCTGCTTGTGATTATTGTGTGCCCTGGGTATGTCAAAGGCTTTTCACCCAGTCAGCGTTATTAATCAAACCTGACTCCTTGTTATTGATTAGACCTCAAATGTTTGGGTTATATGCCACCCTGTTTATATATTGCTATTTAATTTGCAGCCACCCTGCGTGCACTCTATCTAAGTGACAACGATTTTGAAATCCTGCCGCCAGATATTGGGAAGCTCACAAAGTTGCAGATAGTAAGTAATTTATCTAAATTCTTGGAAAATCAATTCACTTTCATGATGCTTGTAGGAGTAGAATCTAGTCAATTTAAGAAGTAGCAAGGTATGTTTGCAGGAATAGACCACTACGCCTGGAACTATTTCTTATTTCTCAGCAGACACTTGTAAATAAATTGGAAGAACTGAGCATTTGGGGGAAGGGTGGGGTAGACAGCGTGGGGGGTTCTGGTTTAGGCTGCTTTATGGTAACTGAAAATTGTTCTGACTACTTTATCTTCTCTCTTAGCTAAGTCTTAGAGACAATGACCTGATATCACTGCCTAAAGAAATTGGTGAGCTCACTCAGCTTAAGGAGCTTCATATCCAGGGAAATCGTCTTACTGTGCTGCCACCAGAACTAGGTAATATTGTAGGTAATGATTTACTTATTTGAATAATTATGATATAACGCACTATGTTTCCCCTAGAGCTGAACATCTGGTTTTGTTTTAAGAAATGCTTATGCTGAGGTCATCATTGCTGCTAATGTTTACTTTCCTCCCAGAAACGCTTACTCTTTCACTCTTACTGGATATGTGGAAGGGACCAGATGATGTTGCATGTTTGACTTTATTACATTTTTACCTGTTATGTATATCTTGTACATTTGTCCACCTGGCTGCCGATTTGTACAGAACATCCTGCTTTGTATAGCATATATTGAGTATTGGCTCTGCAAGGTTATTCTTGTCTCTGGGTTTTGAAAACACTGTTGGATCAGCAAAAATTGCATTAAGCAGAAATGACACCACTAGGAGTGGCTTTTTGTCACTGTTTCTGTAAAAACAGATGTTTGGTCAGCTAGAGTAAAATATGGCTAAATCGGAGGAATTTTGTGTTTTTCTGTTTCTGTAGCCTGTCATTTTTACTGAGTTGAGAGCTCTTTGACTTAAAACAGTGAAGCTGGTTGATGTACTTTGAATCTGTGATATCTGTCATGTGTATAAGATTAAAAGTAGCTTTTTTTAGCCTAGCAGGTAGAGTTTTTCTTTGAGACTTAAATATATCAATTTTGATGAATTTGTATTTCAGTGCTTAATTTTATGTGAGGAGTTTTAACTTCGCTAGAAGTTGTGCCAATTTGTGCCAAGTCTGAATTTGGTTTAAAGGTCTTTCATGACATCCTTTAAAATATTTTCATTGAGAATAACGCAGCAGCATCAATTACCAGTTGTTGAAACACCTGTTATGTAGGTATTTTTCCTTGTTTCTTGTTATTGTGGGCTGCTGTGTCAAGATGCTTCCTTGTTTCTAGTAGTTCCTTCCAAATTATAGTTCCTAAAACCAAAAAAGATAGTGACTGAACTGTCGCATGAAACAGCAAAAATATTTGTTGTCCCAAGAGCTTCAGCCCATTAGAGAATGCAGTATTTGATATCCCTATGCATAAGTGTGATAGTCGGCAATATATGCTTCATGTTATATGTAGTGTTGCTAAGCATTTAGTTTTAAATAGCATAATCTGCTTAAAAAATGCTTTAAAAGCATGGCTACTTTTTTCTACAGGGTGAGGAAAGAAGTAGGTTTGTTTTGGCTCTGTTTGTTCAGCCACCGTGGGGTTTTTTTTTTTTTCACCTCTTATCAATGTAGCAGACTACAGGGTACTGATGAGTCTTTTCTTCTCACCACTGGTACCTCAAAGTTGTTCTCCTCTCCTTTATTTCAGATGTTCATGTTTTAAACTCTGTGCACTGATGCATGCTTCCTTTAGTTTTTTGTCACAGTCATTTTTAGTCTCTCTCAACTGCAGTAACATTTCAGAAGTGTGCAGTATCTATGAATGTACTTTTCTGTGAATTCCTAAATTATAACTTTGGATTTTCCCTGAAAGTGGAAGTTAAATGTCACACTGAGTCTATGTTTAATGTCTGTGGCTAATTAAATGTTCTAAACATACTGCTATCTTGCAAGCATAACACCAAATTCACTTCAAATGATTTTACTGTCATTGCCCTACCAAATGGAAACCCTTGAAACAAAAGTTCTTGGTGTTTATCTTCCACTGACCTGCCAATTTCAGAATAGGCAAAGGAAGCATTTCTCATTTTTAGTTATCGTTTGTTTGCATTACAGAACATTACCACAATCTGGCAGAAAAAGGGCTTGTAATTTGACCCACCCAATCAGGATGACGGGCACTCACACAACTGAAATGCTTGTCACCTCTCTACTTTACTACTCAGCTGTTCTTCTACAAATTATGTCTCTGTGTTCATGGATTAATAGCCCAATGTTTCATTTTAAGGTCATGTTCAGGAAATTCATTAATTCATTCATTAATGATCTGTTGGCGTAATTTCTTTTGTAGTCCATGCCGCACGCAATGCCAGAACTATGTCAGATACTTAAAATATCTCAGATTTTGGGGTTATTTCCAGAGAACATTACACTGAGGTCTAGGTTTGTAACTTGTCCAACTTGCAATCATATTTACTGTGGAAAAAATGTTTTGCTTGTTTGTTAAACATCTAGCAGACATTTAGGGAATGCGGTTTAGTAAACAGAGCACTGGGCTAGGCTTTAGAAGACTTTCTTGAGACCAGGCAGGAGAAGACCACAGGCAAGCACAAGTTTACTGAATGATTAGAAAAAGTCACTTCATCTCTGCAGCCCTGTTGTCCCTTCTGCAAACTAGGGACAATTTAGAGAAGCACTCCTTTGCAGACAGCTTTGTCATTCACAGATAAAAGGTGGCGTGCAAGTGTTGTACCTTAATGAACGGAGAACTAATTCCATGCTCAATGATTTGTGGGGAAAAAACAATGTTATCTGTTGCTCAGGTTCTCCCTGCTAAATTTTAAAAATGGAATTATAATGTAAGGAGAACTGTCCACATACTTTGTGCTGTGCGTATCGGATAACTAGCTTTTCAATGAGCAGATGCCGTTTGCATTAATTGGAGATACTGCTGTTCCATTTAAAGTAAACAAACTTCCTCTCTCAGTACAGTTCTCTCTAAATAAAGATGCTGAAAGCTTTTGGCTGGCTTAAGAGCGTTAGTGGCTTGGGCACTTGTGGACAGGAGTGAGTTATTAGGTGTTCATTTACCAGGGAAACGGGCACAATATAAACACGAGAATAAGACAGTGTATTTGAGTGAGATGAGGGGGTGGGAGCCTGGTAATCTAAATTTAAAAGTAATTGAGCTTATGGAACTAAGTGCAGGAGAAGGTATGAAGAGTACAGTATGAGAAAAGGCCACGGATAGGCACGGGGATCAAAATGTTGGGACAGAGAGATATTAATAAATAAAATTCTTCAGTCTGCCATTAACTTCACCTGATGTGGTTGAGTGTGGCAAGAGTCAGTGTCAGAGCTGATGGAGTTCAGCATTATCCTTATCCGCGTTTAGCAGAGAATACCTACTGTTTATTTAAGAAAATAAATATTCTTGCCCAAGAGGAAATGAGGAGACTAGAGCAGCGTATTGGTTCTCTTGATGAGGATGCTTGTCTGTAAATACAGTATGTGTGGATGATGAATGCAGGAAATGGCCGGGAGTAGGTGGGTGGAATTCACAGCTTGTTTTTATCATTTGTCTCTCAAAACCCTGTTCATGAGGAATGGTGGTGGGCAGTCATATATAAACTTTAGAGAGGCGCTGGCATTTTTTTTCCCTAGCATTTAAAAGGTTATGTGCTGCATTGTGAGACAAATAAATCATGATTCACTGCAACAACAGAGTTGCAGTCAGTTATATAAATTGCCAAGGAAGCGCTAAATCTGTCACTTTGTGTATTCTGACCGTTTAACAATTGGAATGGTGTTTGGAAAGAAAGCTGAGCAGAAACAAGGAACCACGTAAAGTGGCAGATGCAGTTAGTAAGATCAATGATGGCGTTTTAAGTTCATTGCATGGTCATCTGGGTGGGCCTGTATGTACCACGTAAAAGATTTTTGTTAGTGGAGTCAGCAGAGTAAGAGTACTCTAAGGTGCAGAATTGTTCACAAAGCTCTAGTCGCGTGTAAATAGCTGCACAGAGAATGTAACTTGCCTTTAGGTTTGCTTTTTTCAGATGAAAACAAATAGCATGATTTAAAAAAACCCTATTCTAATGTTGACTTAGTTAATTGCCTTGCGCCTAACACGCATGTGTGTGCACACACGCACAGTGTTCGCTCTTATTTAGGCATGTGGGAAGAAGAGTGATTTCCAAGAAAGCACTTTAAATTATCATCTTATTTTTCCAAAAGTGAATGTTGGAGTCAGATGGCTTTGAAGTAGATGATTCAATGCTGTTCTAGTCCTACTCTTCTAAGTAGGAAGTAAGGTGTATGCTTGAAAAATGGAAAACTCAAGCTTTTAAAAAAAGTCCTAATGGGATAAGTCGCTGTGTTTCCTTTTAAGGAGGGTGAAACATTTGCGTAAATTGTATATCAGGATGGCTAAGTAATTCTTTCATCGTTTTTTTGAACAGCTAAATTATCTTCTGTGAATAAAAAGTATTGGCTTTAAATAAAAAGTTCAAGAAATCCTGCCAGATGTCTCAGTATTTCCATCACAAAAAGACATTTCAGACTAGGCTTTTGAAATGAATCTAGAATTTGTGAATGAATATTATATTATGCAAATCAGTTGCTTCAATTAATTATTCAAGTTAATATTGATCAAAATGGCAGTTTACTTAGGTAATCATAACAGGCATGTGCAAACAGGAATCACTTCTTTCACAAAAGGTATTTCTTTTTAAATATACTTCAGGTGAACCCCAAACTTTTCTTCTTACTGTATAAGCTGTTGCTGCACTCTTCCTGTGTCACAACACAGCGCTGTTCATGTCTGCAAGTACAGCCCTCTGGTGCTCATTGGAGACCTGACCATCTTGGGACTATCTGGACACCAGCTTCTCAGCATTGGAGTAGCCAATTGGTACCTTGCAATTTTAAAAATTACCTGTTTCTACTTTTGGAACTAAGGAAAAGGTGATGTAAGAGAACAAGGAGCTTTAATACAACTTCCCAGTGGGTAAACAAAAGAACGTGTTTTCCAGGACTGCTGATACGGCAGTTACTAGTTAAGGAATAATAGAAAAATGTACTTGACAAGGTAGGTTGCAGTCAGATTATTTATATAAGAAAAACACTTCTGAAAACTTGTGAATATTCTAATGGTGTTCCTTAATAACAAATATTGGTCTTTTCATCGTTTCAGGCTTAGTTTAAGGTTAAAGAAAAAAAAAAAAAAAAAACTTCTTATGTAATTAACAACCAGACCGATTCCATGGTGTAGTTTATGAGAGTTAAGATATATGGGAAGAGATGAGAACTCTGCAAAGTTTCATTATACTCAGATAGATGTTTTCTATAGCTAGTCATTTAGATTTACACCACAGGCATTCATTTCCTTATACTGCTGTAATTT